CCACACACAACACTTTCTCCTAATAGCACGCATGAACAAAGCCTTACAGAGGAAGGTTGCGGTGATTTTAGGCCGCATTACTCTGAGAACAACATCTTACTGAATGGAAAGGTTGATTATTGGAACATAGGGAACAAAGACAAGGGGAACATTCCTGAGTGCAGCCATTAGACAAGGCAGCATTGTCATTCAGTAAAAGGCTTGTTTTGGAAAGTATGATCAAACTTGGTCATATGTGACCAGAGACAACATGTAATAACTTCCTAAAGTTCAACAACACAGGAGACTGACATGTATAACACTTTTCTTAAAGGGGACATATTAAGATCATTTTTTGGGGATTTCTTCGAGAACATGTCTGTATGCTTTGATGTTCAAATAAAACATCTATACTGTCTGATTGAATCTGTACTCATCCTCTGTTTGAAACTCTTTGTTTACGCGTCTGTCTATTTAAGTCTGTCTCCTGAAAAGCCTGTTTCTGCCAGTAAAAAAAATATTGTGCACATTTCCCCTGTTTAATCTAACCAACCAGCTGCTGGCTAAGGCTTCATATTACTGTACTGATGTGATTGGTATTGATCTTATTATCTAATTGTTCTTCAAAAAGCTAATCAGTATAGTTACAAAAATGTCTATTTTCTTTTTTAAAGGCTGCTTTTAAACAACTGTTTATGCAGTAGAAGTAGCATTCTCTCAGGGTAAGCCTTTCTCAGTTTACAATATGCTAGTAAGCAAGACAACTCAGTGAAGAGAAGATCAAACTAAATTAGCTATTGTAACCATAAGTGATAAGGAAGAGATTAGAGCAGAAATTACAAGCTTGGTTACGGCCATTTTCAGATAAAGACATACATCATCTAGAAGAGGCATTTCTAGTTATTTTGTACACTACAGTGGAAGGATAGGAAAGTAATTCACCTGAAATAAACTACACTCTGATCTGCCTCTTTAAAAAAGGTAGTTGTTGTTAGCTATTGATTTTTAATACAAAATGCAGAAAAGCAGGGTTAACATTCAGTGGATAGGCAAGGCAAGGACAAGGCAGGATGGGCCTGCATTCAATTGTTGAAAGTTGACAGACATGCTGGGATACGATAAATGTAATACGGTCCCATTGTGTGAGGGTATTTTCCTGTCATGATGCTCCAGCACTCTATCCCTTAGCAGACAGCAGCCTCAGGTATTTATCTGCCTCTTCCCCTCCTCCTTCATTGTGTCCGAACCTCTAAGGAGAGCAGACAGACTTTACCATATTCCCATTTGAAAACTCCCGTTCGTGCCAACTCAACAGGCAGATGAAAGATTAAACTTGGGAAACTTAACCTGTCGCCCTGGAGTCACAATCATTCACACACTACTGAGATTAATGTTCATTTCTCAGGGAAATAGGAGAGGGGGGCTCGGGTCACGAGTGTTGCTTTAATGCTCAGCGGTGCAAAGATTGAGGCTTAGCCATCAAAGTAAATCCCTGATATTTCTTCAAATTCTTTAGGTGACTTAAATGTTTTCATGGAGCTATGTGGTCTCCTGAATAAGTTCAGATACATTTTGGAAAGTTTTCAATGTCCCCAACATAAAAGTGGCTTTTTCACCCCACTAGAGACTTCATATCTCATCAGACTGAAGTCATTGTTAGTTTTGTTGGTATTGAGCAAAACTATTGGGAAATATAGGTACACTGAAATCCAAACAATGTTATGTCATTTTTCTTCCCATTGTTAAACCCCAAAACCTACACTGAAATATAAAAATATCCATTACGGCTGTCTCCTCTTTGAGGCTGTGCCTGAGAATTCCCATGGGAGTGAGAAAGTTCCCATGATCTCGGCCTACAGCCATATTTGGCATGTTAATACCCACTACATTTGACACACAGGAGCAGGTGTCTTTGAATACAAGGCAAAGCTCAGGGTATTCCCTTCTTCAGCTTCACAAGAAGCCAAGAGGCAAATTATATGGTTTAAGAAAACCATGGCAGTCTAAACACAGATACCCTAAACACACACACAAAAACACACACTGCACTAGCACTGAAATGTCAACAAGTAATTATATGCCTGGACTACACTATAGAAAAGAAATGTGACATAATACAACCAAACCGAACTGGAGTCGCTTTGCAGCTACAGAATCTACTACATAAAAAAGGTTTTGACTAATAAAAAAATCCGTAAAAAAAACATTCAAGAGTGATACGACATCTTAATCAGATATGGAAACCCCGCCTGGATGCGAAATGGGTTTGTGTCGCACACAACAACATAGCAACAGGTAGCATTGGAAAGATCCAGCATCAGATCCAAATAACACTTCACTGAGAAAATACTGCAGATGTATTTACTCCTAAACTCTGTGAACTCATTGTCGTTCCTCTGACCTCTCACCCAGGACAGCCTTTCCTTCTGTTATGTTTCCCATTCTGACATATGTTAGCTTTGAGTGTGATTTGTTTAATTGCCTGGAATGCTGCCATTGTGTGGCAATTTCTGTTCTGATAATTGCCTTAAATACAGGTTAATGTGTGGACTGGAGCTTTTGGGGCAGAAAGCTTATTACCATGTAATGCTGACTGTTAGTTACATGGAACAGCAGAGAAAGTGTTACAGTTTAACAAGGCTGGATGTGGGCCATGAGAAAATCCTTCCCTGTGGCAGGTTTCGCCTCCTATGACTTCATGTTAGCAGTCACGCTGTGCACTTTTATTACAGAAGAGTTGTTCAGACTATTTGAGAAATAATTCATTTATTATTCTTAAAATGTGTTTGCACCGGAGGGGAATCAGGTCAGCTGTTTAATCATGTGTGAAACCAGCAGCAGTGGCCACTGAACCAAGCGTAAAACTGTACAAAACCACTACAATGGCCGAAATATATACATCTCTGACCGTTGCTAACAGGCATTCCCAATCATACAGCATTAGCCTAGACGTTGTGTGAACTCCTCATTACAATCTGAAAGCATGTCAGAATGCAGGCCAGGCAGAAACTGTAGCTTCTTTTTGCTGACCTTCACTGCAGAAAGGCAAAGTGTGAAACACTACAAGATGCAAAGCTTTTCTTCAATTGTTTGCGATTCAAATATCTGATAAGAGTGTAGAGAATTAATTTTTTACAAGACACAATGTGTGGTTTGAAAGCTACATAAGTTGAATTAGTTCTGTCTTTGGTGATGCCCTGAGGCTTGACATTAATCTGTTCAGTCTAACAGGCGTCTTCATGTTTTACGCCTCCCATGGCCATAAAACCCAATGTCAGATTTGCGATATAAGTGGATAATATTATTATGCTAAGGTGATTAGTATTGAAAAGTTCCTCTATGAGTTACATAACAATAATATCATGTTGCAAGCAGGTGGCTGCCAGAGATCATATCATCAGCAGCAGGAGTGCAGAATTCCTGCTTATGTACAGCATTCACTGGCAATTATGTTAAGAAATGGTCTTAATCCAAGATGAATGCTTACAGCTTGTATCACCATTACTGTGTACCAGAATAATGTTTGTATTTCTCAGACTTTAAAACTGGATAGATGATTTGATGCTAACCTTGAATGATACTGTATGACATCAGGGGTGGGATAAGGTTATCATCACAGTGAGTGTTTCTCTGCTTTTTCGTTCAGAAACAGCCAAAGCCCCATTAGGTGCTGCACAACATTATTTGACTCTATTGCACTGAAACTATGCAAAGATATGCCTTACAACATGCTCAGTGCACTACATTTTCTTGAAATAATGTACCATAGGCCTGTATTCATTTGCAAATACAAAGAGTTGGCAGGGTTTCAGCTTTGTTTACCTGTTGTCTCCTTTTCCATTTGAGGGTGGTGGGTGTAGAACTGTTTGGTTGTCTTCCATATCCACAACACATTTTGTATTCAGTTCAATTTCTGTGGAGAGAAGTGTGTTATTGGAAAGTAAAGCAGATTGCGGGGGTGTGAAAAGTAAAATCGTAGCGACTTTAGCTGTGTTCAATAGACTGAGCTCTGACTTCATAACTCGAGCTGAAAGCAGCAATGGCGAAGAAATCCAAACTTTATGATAATGTTGCATGAATCCGAGGAGACAGACAGTTTGCGAAGAGAAATCATCGTTATAACACTTACCCCTGCGGTTCATGGGCCGAACTCTCACTGCAACTTTTACCTTTGAATCCGACATTTTTACTCCCACCCTGTCTATGCGCTGAGCTAGCAATGTATAGTCTGTGAATCCCCGACAAGAAGCCCGGGTTTCTGCCGGTAAAAAAGGCAACAGACTCTAGTTAAACAGCCCTAAAAGAGTCCAGACCTCGAGGAAATTAGATAGCAATGTGTTCATTTTTCCGTTATATCCATCTAGGTTCGCTTTTTGTGCAAATCCAGCACACTGCTCCAGCCCCAGACAGCATCCCCACCGCCATCTTCCACTGGGAGCACGACTGCTCTCCTCTGGCGGACTGGAGACGGCTGTGCCAAACAGGGAAAGGATTTACGCACCACGCCGCTTAATGGGGGGAGACAGGGGGAGAGCAATGTGAGGCTGTCTGACATGTTCATTCACATGCTCCCGAGAAAAGCATCATGTTAGGACAGTTAGGAGGTCAGAAGAGATGAGGGTTTATTAAAAAGGCTTTATTAAAATGTCTAAGCACACTCTCTGACAAACACATTAGTATTATTACTCTCACCAAATTAAAATAGCCTAATATTCCCAGTTTTTATGTCACAAACCATTTTGTAATTTGTTTTATTTATTATATAACTTTACTTACATATGTTTCACTAGTTTACACACATACCCATAATAACTTAAGTAACCATATTTGAGGACATTTTTACATCCACCATGTGTAAGTGTTAATTATAGGAAAATGTAATGAGGATTTGAGCAAAAATAAGTGGTTTTGTTCTAATGGGGTCTGCTAAAAAAGGGCACATTGGGTACTGAGACCCAATGTCCCCTTTTTTAGCAGACCCCATTAGAACAAAACCACTTATTTTTGCTCAAATCCTCATCATAGATTGCTGTCCTTCTAAATATTAAATGTGAGCAATTTAATCAAAAGTGATTATTTTTTTCATTTGATTTATGTGGCTCCAAAAGCTGAAAGTATCCAGTGTATCACAATAACAATAAACAGTTGAATGTAACAAATCAAACCAAAAACGGTCTAAAATGTTGTCTATACATTTCATAGCATGCAACCCAATGCACCATATACCTCTAATTTCATTATATTCACATTTATCATTTTCAATATAGAACTTTACTTATATGTATCAATAGTATTGCCAGGTCATCTTATCCCATGATAAGCTGCACTTCACATACTGTAGCTCCTGTAATACTGTCCATACATTAGCTATATCAAGGGCCCATTATCAGATTTAGCAGAATACATCTTCACTGTATGGTCTCCACCATCCAGAATGATGAGGGAGTTGTTCAGTGTCACCAGTCCAACTGGGCGGATAAGGTCATCACCAACCAATGGGGTCAGGGCGGGGCCACTCTGGAGCTGCCCCAAACTCCAAATCATCCCCATATTGGAGTCAATAACAATCACATCTCCATTTTGGTCAAAGGTCATGACTGACATTTGCAGCCTCACTTTTGACTGCAGCATCAAGCTGAAAGTGTCCGTCTGATAAAGGAGGCGGAAGTCTTTTGTGAACACTCTCAGCCTGGTGTGTGGGTTCCTCCCTGGTGGATATGTGTCCTCAGGTAAATGCTCCATCACTGCAGTGTTCCCAGTCGCTCCACAGCAGGCCACCGCTTTTGGATGCTGCAGGTCTGATACGACTCTTTGATGCTTTACAGCGAGACCGTTTATAAAGTTCACCTTTACCTGAGACAGCGTACCGGCCTGGAAGTCTGAGACCAGGATGTGCCCACAGCTGTCTGTATCTACACCCCAGGGCATCTGAAAGGAATCTTTCACCGTCAACACGTGGTTTCCCCTGGAGGTGAAAACCTTCAGGGCTTTATCCCCAGCATCTGTCACCACCACGTGACCACAGGAAGTCACCGCCACATCCACTGGGAAACAGATCTCCCCACTGCCTTGTCCTTTTGGCCCAAAACTGTGCAGCTTCCTGCCCTGCGGACTGAACACCACCACCCTCTTCTTGCCATCATGCACCACCACTAAAGTACCTGAAGATCCCAAAACGGATATCCCAGTGGGGTTGATAAGAGTCCCCCACCCCCCAAAGGCTGTGCAGTGGTGCAGAGCCCTGGCTGTCAGACCTTCAGCCAAGCCAAGACCTTCCTTTGCCCTGTGAGGAGGGGCAGGGGGTGTGGGACTCTGGGACAACAGCAGCTCCTGCAGGTCACTAAGAGCCTGGCAGTGGGAGTTGCTGTCAACACTACACAGCTGTCGACAAAACGGGCACTCCAGCTTCCTCAGGAGAGGGTGGGACAGAGCCCTGATGCATTCCAGACAGAGCACATGGCCGCAGGAGAGGTTCTGCGGTCTGTGCTCCCTCTGCTGAGTGCTGAACTTCTCGAAGCAGACTTTACACTCCAGCAGGTTGATCTGGATCTCTCTGAGAATCTCCTCAGGACTCCTCAGGGAGCCTCGACTCGGGAAAGCAGGACCCTCAGCCATGAATTATATTGATGTTCTTCAAACCTACTCAGACAGATCAGTCAGCTGATGCAGGCTGCAAAGGTTCAGAGCCAAAAATAGCTGGATTAAAAAATACAACCGTTCACTTATATGGATAAGTAGCCTAGTGAAGAGAGGGCTATGAAGGCAGAGCACTGCAACATTCTTGTCAACACACTCATGTCCTTTGCTTAGGCCCAAATTGTCATGTGACATTATGCATTAAACTGAGGCTCACTGCTGCCCTCCTTTGGAAATCAGCTGACACACATGCTGGAGCCCCCATTGTGTTGTGAACACTGAAAGCAAAGGACATCACACAATTAATAAATTAATATAAGGTATTACAGCTTTCTGGATCAGAACCAGGATCTCCATTGCATTACCTGGTGTTTGTGTGCCTGAACACTCACTGTGTGGCGACAGCTGCATGCAACTCATGGCTTTTTCTTTCAGGAATTACTAGATCTCCAGTTGTTACTACTGTTCATGTTAAGACCTAAAGAACATTATTTTATGTTCCCTTCAAAGGGAACATGAAGCATACCTTCAAAAACATGTTATAGGTCAGCATGAGGGAGGCAGCTATTTCAGTCTCTCAGTTTCAAGGTTTGCAGACGGAGTGAAATCTGATCCGAGACGGGCAGTGCTTCAGTCAGCCAATCCCTCAATCCTCTGCTGCAGCAGGGCACTCTTTGGGGGTCAAGCAAGGTCATCCAGGATTTCCTTTTGTTAGGTGTTATTGTTGCTGTAAACTGCGGTTTCATTTAAAAACTACAATAATAATCCACAAAGAGTTTAAGAGGAAATTTAAAACATTTTATTATGTCTCTTTATTTCACAGTGAAAAAGAACAGCCATTTTTTATAGGATTTATTTTTGGCAAATGACATCTTAATCCAGAGACATGTACCCTTAGTCGTGTCTACAGTAGCAGAGGAGCCTGGTCCATTCCACAGAGGTCCACCTCTGGATTGTCGAGGATTATGAAGGATATATGTTTATTAAGATGATGCTGACAGAGCAATGAAAAGAAACCTTCAAGAAAGCACTCAAGAGCAGAATTTAGTTTCAATACAAACTGAAAAAAGTATGGAGTAAAAAAGAAACATGCACACGGTGTGAATTAAAATGTTACAATGAGAGTGAAATACGTAAAAATAACAATACTGTCGCCTTGTTGTGTGGTGTTATACAAAGATCTTGAGTACTCTTGTAACATTCTACTACTAAAACACTTGATTTGACACAGCCATGCAGATGCGATATATGCCGTAACAAGAAGGTTGACAGTCAAACCAGACCTGCACTCGGACAGGTCGAGCCTGACGTCACATGCAGGAATCGGAATAATTGTCCTCTGTAATCAGTAAAGTAAAGAAAAAGAAAAAAAAGCAGCCACAGATGGACACGGAGAGTAAAATCACTCAAGGTTACAATGATTCACAAAATACTCAAGCATAACTAAATGTACAGTATTTGCAAGAAAACATTCTGAAAGTGCTTAGACTGTGTGTTTCGTTTTGTTCCTGGTCACACACTCAGTCAATGATCCTTACAAGCTAAAGCGGTCTTGCATTGAAATTCTGCCCACATTCAAGTTACAAACACGAAACAAGTGTGAACATCTATGATTTAAATAGACGATAGATGATGATGCTTTTAATAGACGTTGTCCTTTGTGTGCTATAAACACAAAGGCTCCAATTAACGTAATCAATTATTCATAATGGCTTTTAACATTCAAATGTGTTGGTCCAACATACTGGAGTTAAGGCTGGAGTAAACCAGTCAACATCATTGATATACTGTGTCATAGAATACATGTTTCTAAATGATTGTTCATTAGCTACAATGATCATGCAGTCACATCTACAATAGGCAGTTTTTAACGCCACCATTTTCCCTCTCTCTGTCTCTACACACAGAAACCTGTGATCAGTGGTTCAGGAGGTTTTTTTATGACTACAGTTCACAATTTAAAGTGTTCATCTCTGTAGCCCAAGCCTCTGTGCACTCCTAATAACTTTGCATGGGCCTGATATCCACTTCTCCTCCTCTGTCTCCACTCACTCTACTGTAGGTGCGGGCTTGCTAGACTTTATTTACACCAGGAAGTGGTTGCATCTTTACTCCCTTTTCAACCTGGGATCCTTCACACCTGGCTCCTTGGAGTGAGTTCAGGAGACGCACACCAGCCACTGGCTCCGACTCCTACTGGCTGTCCAGGCCGTTGACAGATTGGGTGTTTGCGGAGCCCTTCCCTCTGAGTCTGGTTGTCGGGCTGTCGTCGTCGTCGTCGTTGTCGTCGTCTTCGTCTTCGTCCAGCGTTGTGTCTTCTGAAACAGTGAGGAATGAGTTCATACAAATATTTTACTGAACCTTAAATTATGAGTAAAACTCCATTTCAAAGACCTTTACAAGATTACAGTTCCTGTAAATATCTATGCTTTAACTTTTAAATCAGCCTCTCTTATGGTTGATGAATTAAATCAAAATCAATGTACCTTTTAACTCTTCTGGCGCATATTCATCATATTCATTGTAATAACAGTCGTCTTCTGAGAGGGTCTGTGAAAAGAGAAGAGGAGACATGTGACACACACACCAGAACCAAACCTGACCCTGTGAAGCTTTCAAAGCAAACTGACTGGTAGCAATGTTTAAAAGGGAAAGGATTTGAAGCTTATATTGACACAGGGCAAGTGATCTTATTGTGTAACCTTTCTTACTTTATTGCTGTGTTCGGGATGTTTCTGGGCATAGCAACCAGGTGACAAATCATAGCACTCATCCAAGAAAAACAATCTACAAAAATGTCAAGAAAGTGCAAATACACTTCTTAACTGTAAAGCAATAGACATACCTTTTCATTTGGACCATAGGTTTCAGCATACCAAACCATTCCGTACAGGCAGAGGAATGTAATGAAGGCCTATAAATAGATAGATGGTTTAATGATTTGTTGAAAATCTTTTATAAATAATTAACAACAGATAAAGCTTTTCAGGTTGAAACGTTTATGATGTAAAACAGAAAGAAATATGTGAATGTGTGTCGACGGCAAGTCACAATATTCAATGTATGACCAGCCAACTACTGACTGAAGAGCATAGTATATTGTTTTGACCCAGAAATGCAACATTACTGAGAACTGATCTTACCAAACACAGCAGCCACAGGACCACGTACAGGACCTGGGTTTTTGAGAACAAGTCCTGTCCAAACTTAATGCATCCCAAGGCCTCCAGAAAGGCTACTGCCCTGTGAATGAGGAGAACAAAAACATTAAAGCCTCTGACCGACCTGCAGTTCACTTTGAATATTACTAAAAAACAAATCAACCAAAAAATAATCAACCTTTGCTAAAACACTTACCCAAACACCCAGCACTGGGTCCCAACTCTCTTGCACTGTGTGTCTGTTAGGTACGCATAATACTGCCTGAAGCAAAGAACAAACACAAAGAAAACATTAGAAAATATTACTTGTAGTTTAACATGACTGCCTTATGTTGGTCAAACTGTCAAAATACGGATCACAATTTAAACATATAACACTATCCCAACAGATCTTTCAATATCAGTTTATATGGATTACTTTCCTACCAATATTTAATTGTTGAGTTGGATTCTTTTTACCTGACTGTTGGCGCTGTGATGATACCAACGAACAGGATCCGACACCAGCTGAGAGGATGGCTTGCAGGAAAGACGAAAATGTGCTTCAGGAAGAATGTGTTCAACTCTGTAAGCTGTGGACAAAGAGAAAAGCAGGTTGAATAAGGATTGTTATATATAATGGCTTCTGTATACAACAAAGAGAAAAGGATGGAATATTTCAGTTTTCAAGCATATTGAGATTGAAATCTAGAGTATAGGAATGTTAGCACTTGTTATACTTAGTCTCATAATAAATAATGTTAATTACAGTATTTAAGAACAAATAAAGTATTCATATTTGATGTATATATTCAAATCTAAAAAGCCAAATGTAATGTCCCTGACAATGTTGTTTGTTGCAATGGTGGGTGGGGGGGGTGGGTCATCTTCAGCATATTTTGCAATGTGACACAATACAAGTTTAGGATTATGGTCATATGACCGACTAAGCCGGTCAAGGAAATCTCACTGTTTGGCTTTAGCTTTATCCTGCTGTACTGTCGTAAATCCATTGTACGTATGAAAACGGCGACATTTCCTACTATGTTGACACAATATGGATGTGATGCCTTTTTAATCTATTGCAACTGCAGGTCAGCATCATTTCTGGTGCGCTTGAATACAGAGCCAACATAATACAACTATGTGATACTTTTAATTTCAAAGCAGAAGTCTGTAAATAAACAATTAGTTCACAGTCAAATGTTTTTAACACTGCTATATTCAAACTTCTAGGGACATCTCCAACAATGGGCTCATTGTTTGTTTTCAAATTATAAAGCTAGAAAATGTAAAAAAGTCATTAGGAGAGGAATTGTTTGTGACTTTATTTCATTATAAACAATCTCAAAGTTTATCGTTTAATCCTACGTGCATTACATGTATTGTACCATTCCTCCTAGTTTCTATGTGCCCTTGCATTTAAGAGTTGCTGTATACTTTTCTGGAAATGCAACATTAGGACAATCGTTGCTTTGTCAGACTATTATTAAATTACCTTGTCTCACGAGCTGTCTATTTTGATCACATAGTTGTCCATTGGCTTTACCATGCGCCAGTTATAGATTTAGGGGCCATACATCTCTCTCTCAGCAGGGGTTTACACAGAACAAGCACAGGTGTGGTAGCAAATAACATCTAATGACAGCTCCGTTCCATAACATGAGCCAATAAGCCGTGCCAGCAGGACTGTGTGTACAGAACCAGAGCCCTTGAACTGGCCTACTTATAAGGAATGCAGCCACTATAATTGTTAGGACTGTAGTTGCGCCTGTGTTTGACAAGTCAAAAGGTGCACTGTGAGTAAGGTCTAATGGCAATGAGACTCAATGTGTGCTTTATAACGAGCAGATGCACTGAAAAAGGTCAACAAGTTCAGCCAGGACACCATCAAACAAGAGCTATCTTACAATGCCAGTCACACTTGAATTAACAAATAGTTAGCAGCTCATT